TGGTGTGAAGAGCAACTTCATACTGCCACCCACCCAGGACCGGCCGCCCTGTGTGGAGACAGTGCTGCTCCCACCTCTGGTACACCAGTGACATGGCTGTGGGGACCCCCTCTCCCATACAAGCTGGCAATAAATTCACAGTAATGATGTTTATTATAAGGCCGATGTTGCAGTGGGGTGGGCACCGTCGGATAGCGTCAGTGGTGGCTGTAACAGTGTGAACGTTGCTGTGTTACAGCTGCTCTGTGCAGATTTTCTGTCAAATGCTGGGAAAAAAATTCCTCGTGGACAGTCTTCCTCTCGCTTTGTGTGGCCACTGATTCCTTGTGAGCCCAGGCCATTTCCTTCCTTGCCCAGTCCTTCTGCAATGAAAATGCCTGGGCTAGTGGTGTTTTTTCAGTATTCTGAAAAAAAAAATGGTGCTACCAGCTCGTTGCAGATGGTCATAAACCTGCGTGTGATACAAGGGTGTAGGAAAATAACAGGAAGGGTCTTAGAGTGGACAGTTCAAGGGCAAAGTGCCCAAATGGAGATGGGACTTTGGGGAGGCTGCTGCAAAGGAAAAGCTGTGCTTTGTTGAAACGCAGAGCAGCTTTCAGGCTTGCTTTGCATGCAGCAACCAGCCAGCCTGAAGGAGCATTGCTGCCAGGGAAAGGTCAGAGCAGAGTCTAAAAGGCTGCGTTCTCCCCATCTGGCAGCTCCTGAGCTGGGGGGCTGGAGCACAAGCTGGCAGCAGGAGCTCTCTCCTACCAATTTGTAAACCTAGAGCTCCCGTGTCCGGCAGGGAGGCAAACATCTCTGCAACCCTCCTAGCCCTGCTGTGGGCAACAACTGCCCTCCTGGTGTTTCACAACACCAAGGGTTGGAATAAAGGCTGGACCAACATCCCTTGGCCAGAAGCTGCATCTAAACTGCGCTTGCCTCGAAGGGACCACGCAGCCTCGTGCAGGCTTTCCTCCATGACTGTGCAAAACCAACTGCTAGCACCCTGGGGGAGCTTGTCCGCAAAGGCGAGGGGCACAGCTGGGAATTCGGGTGACTCCTGGCTCTCCGGATGGGGAGCTCCAGCTCTACCCGAAAGCTCTCAGGCAGCCGGTTCCTGGGAGCTGGATCAGCTACCGCATTTGCTTTTATTGTTGATGGCCGGGATGGGAAATGCAATTGAGACACCTTAATGAAAAGCTAACAAAGTTGGGTTTGGAGGGAAGGTTGGCATTCTGGTAGCCTTGCTTCTTGTTAGAGAATAATATGAATGATTTGTCTGGGAATATTCCTACCGCTGCGCCTGTGGCACTGTGCTGACCATGAGCTGAGACCCTATGCAAATGCAGAGTAAGAGGGTCTCTGGGGACCAAGCTGTTTATTTTGGATTGTACAAATAAAGAAATGCTGCTAATTTTATAGCAGCAGCTTCTCAGAGATACTGTGTCAGGCTCTGATGGTGTGTGCGTGCGTGTAACCAGCATGTTGTGGCCAAGCATTTTCTAGCCCTCCATAATTCCTGAGTCTGGTGTTAATAACACTCACTGTGAGTTGGTTCGAGTGGGAAAGCTGGTGAGGTACGTGAATCTTGCTCGATGACCGCACCACAAAATGCAGGAGGAAGCCCAACATAGAATTGGGGGATGATACTGCCGCTCAAAGCGGGGTCCTGGCACATTGCGAAGGCCGGTGGGTTTTTCTCCCAAAGTTCCAGCCTTTCCCCACCTATCTGAGCCCTCCAGAAAAGTTACAAGTTTCTTATCTCCTGCCATCTGAGGGAAAAATGTTGTTTGTACATGGAGAGCCGGATGGTAAGGCCAGAAAGACGGATTGCTCAGATGCAAACCTCTAGGCCTTTTTTCCTACTGTTTAACATAATATGGGACTTGATTTTAAAAAAACCCAACAAACCAAAACCAACTTATATTAGAATGTTTGAAAGGGAAGAACATGGCAAATGAAGTCCAAGTGACTTATTCTGATTTAGTGTGTGTCTTTTTTTCTGGCAGAGGCTTCCAGTGTTCGAATCCTTTTAAGACTGTAGAGTTTGTCCAAAGTGTGATGGGACTCTCCCATTCTTTATGACCTAAATCAGTGACCCAAAGCATAATATTTTCTCTAGAACCATCTGTTTCCTCTTCTTGCTAAGGGGATTTCACAATGCCTGGTTGCTCTGAATAATTGTACATGTGCAAGGATATGACTTGCCACAGGGAGAAAATAACTGAACAAGGGCAGGTGGATGCTCTTGAGTTTTCTGTTGAAACTACTGCCCTTTAGAACGAGAGGGTGAAAAACCGTGCAGCTGAGTAATATTTTATGCCCTGACTAAAATTTTTTTAAGCCTACGTATTTAAAAAAAACACCAAAACTACACTTAGGAGCTATCTGGGATAAACAGAGTTGATACCAAGTCAGTCAGTGTTTTGACAGCCCCTTTATCAAATATCTCTGAGACTTGGTTTGGAGCAGTGTGAAACACAGGAGTACAGATGTTGGGTGACTAATTCATGCTTCGGCTAAACTTCAATGACCACGAACGCACATCTGTTTCAACTTAGCTGTCCGTGAAATGGCCTGCAACAAGGTACTCTACAAATACCATGTTTTCAATTTTTTACTTCAGGTTTGTAAGCGGTGGCTACAGCCTGCGTTCTAGGAAGCAGAAGGTGCCCAGGGACTGTGATCAGGGGAGCACTGTTCAGGGCTTCTGACTCCAGCAGTAAGAGCTTTTTGTAGCATTAGCAGGATTTCCAACGCAAACAAGTCCTTTGTTTTAAATCTGTCTTCATACAGGACACTTGCTTTTTCATGTTCATCTTATCTGTTCTTATCACCCAGCTCTCCGACTTGCTCACTTCCTGCCCTGTGTATTTTTTTTTTAATTAATTAGAAAATTGGGGGGGGGGGCAGACCAACAGCTCCTTGTGAGGAAATGCCATTTATGTAAAACTGTCTTGGCAAATTCTCAGTATTATTCTTTCAGCTCAATAATCCTACTACAGCATCCTTAAATAAAAGCAAATGGAGGAGAGGGCTTTGATCCATCATTACAATGTCTCTTTGCGGAACAGATCCTATAATGTGGGGGCAGGATGGTACCCATTGCTTCCTCCAGCTGGTTCTTCGCTTGCGCACAGCCCTGTCCCTGCATGATATGCCCCTGCCCTAATGAGGAGAGGTCATTTCTGTGTCGTGGAGGATAAGGAGATGGGTGGTGGTGACCAGGTGCTTTTCCTCAAGGAGGTGTTGGCATGTCCCCGTTTTGGAGGGTCCAGGAACACCTGCCTGGCTGGAGTTTTGCAGTCAGCAATGCAGCATGTGGAGCCTGCTGCGTGGCTGGAGAGCCAGCCTGGTTCCCAGCGGTGCTGTGAAACAAGCCCTCATTCAGGAGGAAGAGGGAAAGTGTGCTTAGCCATCCTGCATGGGTCACGCCATGGCTGGCCCCAGGTGACAGCTGGGATGCTGTCACTGGACGCAGCCTTTAGCACGGACGGGTTGGTCAGTGTGTCCCCATGCGTGCAGCCATGCAGTTGTCAGACCTGACAATGTGTTTGCTGGAGACCAGGCAGATGGCAAATGGTAGGGTGAGACCTGCCAGGCGTTGGGGAGGCTGGACTTCGGGAGGCGCTGACTGGATCTCCTTCTTGTGTCCCATCTCTGATACGGGCCTGGGAATACCATCCTTCTCTTGGAAGTCAAAACCTTTCGTGGCTGGATCCATTGGGGTTTTTTTCTTTCTGGAGTGTTGTTTTCTTATGAACAAAACCAGTTCAGCCTTTTGTATTCTCCAGTGCAGTAAAGGTATTGACGTACTCATTTTCCTGTCTTCATAGAAACATTTTTAAGTACGGTGTGATTAAATTAACTTGGAATGGAGAAGCGTAGTATGGCAAACGCTCTCCTTGAGGAGAAAATATAGCTTTAATAACTAAGAATCTGGCTTTTATTGGCTAGTAAAATTGAGAATGTAACACTGAGCATGCTCAGGTTTTTGCACTAAGCATCTCTATGTACTTAAAGGCATCTGTTCTGTCGGTTTATGCACTGTTAACTAACTGAAAACCTCTTTAACAGCTCCTTTACGCTGCTGGAAAATACTGAGGCAGGATAAGGGCAAGTACTGCTGTCATGCCTGATGACTGATGTTGTAAATGGAGTGAGAAAGGCCCTTGAAGGGGAAGCCGTCAAAGCTGACCTAGTGGGAAAAGAGCGCAGGGACAGGTTTCCTCTCGAAGCATGCCAAGAGAGCCAGGCTTGGATGCATATGGGGCGCTTTCCAGTTCTGGGAAGGTGCAAAGGGATGCACTGTGGAAGGAATGGCTCCAAAATCATTAATTAAAGACTGCCCTTCTGGTGCACCTTATGACCAAGTTACTGTTAAGAATAAGGTTTTGCCAGGGCTTGAGCTCACTTCATGCAGATTTCTGATGTGGAATAGATGTTTGGGAGGACTGTGAGCAAGAAAGCATTGTGAAATATGTAGTTTACAGTGATTAAAAACAGCAACTATAAAAATATTTCCTAAAAATGATAGGGGGATAGTAGATTTCCCTGTCCTCTCCTGCTCTTACCCTGTGAGTGAGTGAGTGCACTGTAATTTTTAAATGGGAAACACTTCTGCCAGCTGAGAAGCAGAATGATGGGCTTAAATTAGATGAGAAACAAGAAAATGCAATTGAACAAATAGGCTTTCAGCGAACAGAAAGTGGCATTAAACACCATAGTAGCTAAAGGGGGTAGGTGCTAGCCCACTGCTAGCCCACATGAATCTGTCCCTGTTCAGATAACTCAACTAGATGATTTGTACATGGAAAACTGCAGTAATCATAACACAAATGGGCTTATTAGATGGGTCTTCTTAAGTAATGGAGTAACTTGATTATATGTATGGGAAAGATGGGAAATAAACAGGGTGTGGAGGAAAATCTGTTATCTCTGGTCGGCCTCACTTAATGCATCTTTCCTTTTGTCTCTGCAGGCTGAGGACGTTTGGGACCTGTTCGGTGGAAGCGGCCATGTCGCGAGCAACTCGCCCACCCACCTTCCCAGTGAGCTTCCAACTCCTGAGCGTTTTGCTGGTGTTGCTCTTCCATGCAGATGGCATACATGGGGAGAGCCCCAGCGAACTGCCTGTGAATGACACCGAGGAGTGCACTGGCTCATACATCTGCAAAAAGGGTGTGATTTTACCAATATGGGAACCCCAAGACCCCTCATTTGGTGACAAAATTGCTCGGGCAACAGTGTATTTTGTAGCGATGGTGTACATGTTCCTGGGAGTATCTATCATAGCTGACCGCTTCATGTCCTCCATCGAAGTCATTACATCCCAAGAGCGGGAAATAACCATCAAGAAGCCCAACGGCGAGACCAGCAAAACCACGGTGAGGATCTGGAACGAGACCGTTTCCAACCTCACGCTGATGGCCTTGGGCTCATCTGCCCCCGAGATCCTCCTGTCTGTTATTGAAGTGTGTGGCCATGGCTTCACGGCAGGGGACTTGGGGCCAAGCACAATTGTGGGGAGTGCTGCATTTAACATGTTTGTCATCATTGCGATCTGTGTTTACGTTGTTCCAGACGGAGAGATAAGGAAGATCAAGCACTTGCGAGTGTTTTTTGTTACAGCGGCATGGAGCATCTTTGCTTACACTTGGCTTTACATTATTTTATCTGTGTCTTCTCCTGGGATTGTGGAGGTTTGGGAAGGCTTGCTCACCTTCTTCTTCTTCCCCATCTGTGTGGTGTTTGCCTGGATAGCTGACAGGAGGCTTTTATTTTACAAGTACGTCTACAAGAAATACCGAGCTGGCAAGCAGAGAGGCATGATTATTGAGCATGAGGGTGACCGGCCCTCCTCCAAAGCTGATATTGAGATGGACGGAAAGGTTGCCAATTCTCATGTAGAGAACTTTTTGGATGGGACACTGGTGTTGGAGGTGGATGAGAAAGACCAGGATGATGAGGAAGCCAGGAGGGAAATGGCTCGGATTCTGAAGGAGCTGAAACAAAAGCACCCCGACAAGGAAATTGAACAGCTTATAGAGCTGGCCAACTACCAGGTCCTGAGCCAGCAGCAGAAGAGCAGGGCCTTTTACCGCATTCAGGCCACTCGGCTGATGACAGGAGCTGGCAACATCTTGAAGAGACATGCTGCAGACCAGGCCCGTAAAGCTGTCAGCATGCATGAGGTCAACAGTGAGGTGGCAGAAAATGATCCCATCAGCAAACTCTACTTTGAGCAGGGTACCTACCAGTGTCTGGAGAACTGTGGCACTGTCGCCCTGACCATCGTTCGCCGGGGAGGCGACTTGACCAACACGGTGTACGTTGACTTCCGGACAGAGGATGGGACGGCCAATGCCGGCTCTGACTATGAGTTCACTGAAGGGACAGTGGTCTTCAAGCCTGGAGAGACCCAGAAGGAAATCCGTGTTGGCATAATTGATGATGACATATTTGAGGAGGATGAGAACTTCCTGGTCCATCTCAGCAACATCCGCGTGAGCACTGAGGCCTCGGATGAGGGCATTCTTGAGGCCAGTCGTGTCTCAACACTTGCCTGCCTGGGATCACCATCTACTGCCACCGTCACCATCTTTGACGATGACCATGCTGGCATCTTCACCTTTGAGGAGCCAGTAACACACGTCAGTGAAAGCGTGGGGACCATGGAAGTGAAAGTGTTGCGAACCTCTGGTGCGCGAGGAAATGTTATTGTGCCCTACAAAACCATTGAAGGTTCAGCCAAAGGTGGAGGAGAGGACTTCGAAGACACCTGTGGGGAGCTGGAGTTCCAGAACGATGAGATAGTGTAAGTGAAGGTTTTATTTGTTACTTACAGTCTCTGGTTCTCCTGAAATTAAATGCGCGTGGCTCCCAGAGCTGCACTGGAGGTGTTTGGGTGCCAGCGCGTTGCCATAAGCTGTGAATGGCTTTATGTGCTTTGGGGAGCCTGAAATGCTGCACTCCTGCCTTGCTAACAGACCAGAGAGTGATGCCTGCTCAGGGGCACTCCACCCTTCCAGCGGCAGGGTGGTGGGACTGGTTTGTGAGCCCAGCTTCCTGCGCTCTACCCACGCACTGAGCAGATCTCTATAGCCTCGGCACTACAGCGGAGCAGAGAACAAAACCGAGCTAGCTGTTACCGCCCAGTCACAAGGACCTGTCATGCGAAGGGCCTAAACTGAGTGTATGAACTGTGGTACCTGCTTCCCCTTGCCTGTTGAGGGTCAGGTCATCCAGGATTGGGCCACAGCCTGTTCCGCTGATGCTCTGTTCAGGGCTTTGGTGAAGGTCACTTCACCTCCTCCTCTTCTAAAGGCTGCAGGCCTAGGTCATTGTCCAATGCATGGCCTGAAAAAGAACTGTCATGCAGAGAAGCCTTATGGTTAGGATGCAACTGCAGCCACATTTGGCCACTTGCAAATAAAAAAGAGGCTGAAAGCTGTTGGACGCTACTCCTGACTGTTGCTAGGTGGATGGTGGAAAAATTATTAGTGCCGTAGCCTTGTTTATTACATTATGTAGAGAATATAAATTAGCCCAGTAAATCATGGTTGAAAACACCTATCCTTGGGTAGGTCATGAAGACATTTCCTTGCCCAGTTGGGGCTCTGGGAGGAGCAAGGGTTGGGAGTTGCGTTGTTCCAGCCTCAGGCTCTTGCTGCAGTGAAGTCTGTGTCTGTAGATCAGTCCCTGCCAACAACAGAATCTGTAGCACAAAACCACTGTGTAGAACCTGGAGCAGTCACTGATAAAGGGCACTGCTGTGTCAAGGGAGAACTAAATGTTGGCTTGAGTGTTGCATATCATACAAGTGGTCTCTTAGGAGCTGAGACGGACCCACGATGAGTGCCGAGAGCGGGCCTTATGTTCTGTCTGTTACTTGTATCGGCTCTGTGTGCACGGGGAGAATGAAGGAAATAGGGGAATCATAAAAGTTCTTGAAGTAGAGCGAAAGAAAAAAGTGATTTGTAGTTCTCAGGCATATTAGACCAGTTGGGGTTTTGACTTCTCAGGAAAAACTAAGCAAGAACTTCATAGCTCCAGCAGTCTGGAGGCCAGAACATGCATGTTGTTCACACAAGGGTTAAGAGTACATGATATGCCATTGTTCATGGCTCCTGAATGATAACTGTAGCAGAGAGCAATGCAGTTATTCGGATTTTTTTTTTTTTTTTTTTCATTTGGGGAGAAGCAGGGAGTTGTCTGCAGAGATGCAATGAACTAGGCTATAAGGATATCCCCCGAAGGCTCTTTACTTTTTAACCAGGTCACTCAGCACTAGCGAAACGGGGCTACTGGCAGGAAAACTTTGATGTTTGGTATCCGTTCCCCTGGGATGTGACATGTTTACATGGCAGGCCAAACACATGGCCACAGGCTCTGCGCTCAGAGGGGCTTCAGCTTCCCCCTTGTCTTGGATCCATCACTCTGGCCAGGATCTCTGTGCTGTCCTTCATCAAAGACAGGTAGCGTCACCCGCGTCTGCGCTGTGATGGTCTTGGTGCTCGGTCTGTGATGTGGGGTTTTGCAGCGGGACGGCAGTGCCTTCTCCCCGCTCTGCTGTGCCCACTGCCTTTCCTCCACCAAGCTGTTGACCGCTGACTTTTGCCAACAGCCCAGTAACCAAGAGGTGTGCTGGAAACGGGCTGACCGCATCCTGTCGGAGCTGCTGCCTGGCCTCCCCGGGCCATGCTGGTGTGCCCTCCCCCTGGCAGCAAGCCTTCTCCTTCCTTCTCTTACTGGCTGTCAGCATGTGCACAGCAAGCAAGAAACAGGGGGAAAACGGATTTCTTCGAAATCCAAGTGTGTTTTTTCTGTGCAGATGCCAGGACATTGCTATCATATCTCTATTGCCTTTAAACTATTTCTCCCTGGAATCACAAGGAGGGACCATGCATGGGAAGCACCACTTTAGGAGTTCACAGCCTGGTACAAATGAGGGCTTGGGGAGTGGGGTGGGAGGAGGTGGCAACTGCAGGGCCATATGTTGACCAAGGGGCTTGCTCCATTCAGGTGGGAGAGGACATGCACGTACCTTATTTTTTCTGGGAGAAGGGTGAAACTGATTGTAGAAATTGCAGTCTATTCATGTGCCTGAAGGGCAGTAGGTATTCATCTGAAACTTAGCTGCTACCGTCCATGTTCAGGTGTTGGATGGTATAATCTGACTTTCAGAAAATTTCCCGCAGGTCTGTTTTTGCCTGGGCACAAGTTTAGGACAGCCCTACAGCACAAAGGCGGTGTGGTCCTGAAGCCGAGGTGCTGCTTACAGGCATCCTCCCTTGGAAGAATTTGCTCTATTGGGAATAAAGAAGATGTGCTAGCACATTGTGTGGGTTATAGAGCTAAAGCCTGTTTGCTATGTCACTGCTTGTTAGTGCTGTGCTTCAGCTAAATCACAGCTATGTAGAATGGTGCAATTCCCCAGCACGTTTGATTCAATAAAGTTCTAAAACTCCAGGTTTTCCCATGCTCTGGTGGCCAAGAGATAGCTTTGCTGCCCTTTCTAAAGGTCTTTAGTGCCTCTTCAGCTCTGCCATTCTAGGCTGTATCAATTAGCTTGGTAAAATTGAGTAAGATGTGTTTTTCTGCAGCACTAACAACAAAGGTAGGGCAGTGCAGGGGGACACGAGGATGAAAGAAAACTGCATACAAGCCTCTATTATTAGAGGGCTGGCTTGCTGGTAAGTCCCAGTAAAATTAGAAAGCACTGGGAGGGCCCTGATCTTCTGGAGACCTTCCTCCAGTTCCCAAAAGGCCCAATTACGTAACATGTTGTTTGTTTGCAGCGTCCAGAGAGACTTTCCCATTTTGCAATCTGTTGATGTCCCCTTTCCCAGAGCACACAAAATAGCTGTGTAACTCCTGAAGCCATGCCACTCCTGTGCATTTAAACAAAGACCTCATTCCGATGCTACCAAGAAAGAGGTATAATGGAGAAGAAGGTGGTCCTCCTGTGGAACATTTTATCCCAGCACTGCCTGGTGGCCTCTTGGAGTGATGCTTTTCTGCTCCCTGCTCCTGAAGCACATCTTGTGTTCAATGGGTGCATGTTGGCAAGTGAAAGAAACAGCATTTGAATGTGTTTTGCAAAGGGTTTAGCTGGGTTTGTACGATAGATTGGTCCAAGCTGTGTGGGAAAGCTAAAGATGCCTGACTTGAGTCTCAGCAAGGTCAGTCTCAGTGATACTGCACAGGTACCTGGGGCTCTGAGACACTGGTGTAGGAGAGGGTGCTATGATTTAGAGTGTAAGAGAGAGCCTTCCCTCTGGGGCCATCCTCAACAAGGTGATCCCAGCCTTGTCTTGCATCTCCATTAATGATTAAAGCTTTCTCTCGATGAGAACATGGAGAAGATGTGTAGTTGCAGGCTCTTCCTGCCCACCCGTCTACCACAGCTATTGTGATCATAGAAGAGGTCACTGGTTCATGTAGTCAGTGTATTTTTATCTCCTGACTGAATGCCAAATAATTCAAAAGAAGTCCAGCCTCCTATCTTACAGGAGGAAGCAATCCTTCCCCCAGCTGATGCGATCTCTTCTCCTTGCTGTCTCGAAACATCAGCAGGGGCACCTCTTCCAGATGTGACTGCAAAGCTATATGAAAACTGTGTGTTCTTTCATGTTCAAAAACTAGTAGTTTTTCTAGAGGTAACATTGCAACTAGAGATCTATTACAATCTGCATTTCAGATGTCTGCACCCACATCCCCCAAAAGAAAAGGTTTTACTGCATTGATAAGTCAGTGAGGAAGACGGTACGCACAATTATATGGATAACCAATTAAACTGGTACTTCACCTGTGCTGTTACACCTGTAAATGCATGGAGAATCTTATGTCAATAGATCTGGCTGTTCATATGTATAGTTGAGCTGTTTTTATAAAAGGTGTCTGCTGCAGGTTTAGGAAGTGGCACTCTTGGCCCATTGAATTTGACTTGTCCAAGACAGCTTTGGCATTTCTCTGGAAGCATAAATCTAGGAGCCAAATGCTAACAGTGACACAAACATCAGCTAAATCCTCTGATTTTTTAGGGAAAGTGACCCCAGAGACCACATAACCTCCCTCCCAAGAGCCCTTTAAAACTGTCAATGTCAATAAATATAGATTGTGGCAGGGGGGAATGAAGTGGTACTGCTTTTTTAAGTTCCCCTTTTCTTTTCCAAAAGAAGTTGGGTAAGGTATTTCTAAAGAAACAGCAAAAATAAAATCCTGACTCAGCCCTGGGACCTCTCTAGCTCAGTTTTGCATCCATGGCCTGCAGCTTCAGAGAAAAAAATGAAACCTCCAGCGTGGTCAGCCTTGCAGTAGGACGCAGTCGAAGAGCAGAGTCGTCTGATATGGCAGAGATACCGCTGTAAACCAGGCTGAAGGTGAAGCAAACAAACATTCCCCTTTTCACGTTTCATCGTTGAACACATGATCTGTCTCTTTGTCCGTCCCACTTGGTTTGCGTGTGTCAGGGTGCCTCCCCTCCCTCAAGAGCCCTGGCTTGCGCAGGGTTAATGTCTGGAGGCACAGTGTGAGATATCAAAACAGACCAAACAAAGATTAAACTCTTATTCGGCCTGCTTCCAGCACCCAGCTTGGGTTTTAGAGCATGTTTTCCCCTTGCCACTGGCAGTCTCGCCTGGCCCAGCGGGACCTGCCAGCAGTTCAAAATACGGCCACCAGGATCTGGGTCTTGGGTCCTTGGCCGGAGCACCCAGTGCCCTGGGTCCATCTCACGGGAGGTGGCCCTGGCCATGGCCCACAGCAGGGAGCTGCGCACCTGTGTCGCAGCGGGCTGCAGCATGGCATGGGGGC